CTTATAATAATTATTTATTTATTTATTTATTTAAAGACAGAGTTTCACTCTTGTTGCCCAGGCTGGAGTGCAATAGCACGATCTTGGCTTACTGCAAACTCTGCCTCCCGGGTTCAAGGGAATCTCCTGCCTCAGCCTCACAAGTAGCTGGGATTATAGGCATGCACCACCACACCCAGCTAATTTGTATTTTTAGTAGAGACAAGGTTTCTCCATGTTGGTCAGGCTGGTCTCGAACTCCTGATCTCAGGTAATCTACCCACCTCAGCCTCCCAAAGTACTGGGGTTACAGGTATGAGCCACTGCACTTGGCCTTAGTTACTGCGTATTAAGAAAAACAAAATGCAGATTTAGAAAAACCAAAATGTCACGAGATTTATTTTCTTGACTTTACACTGCCTTATATGTTTTTGAAAATGAGGATTGTATAAAACTTTTGAGTATAGCTGAAAAGGGATAGGGTTAACAATCTCCCCCAAGTAGGTAACACATGGTAATTCAAGGATTCTTGAAATTAGGAAAGTATATACACCAAAAATATCTTCAGAGAAGTTAATTTTAGGTGGTAAAAATTACTGACTTATTTTCACGCCTTGGACTGTATTTTCCAAGCTCTCTAAATGAGTATAAGAAACACATACAAAATGAGAAGAACTGAGAAAAAAAATGAAGACTTCACGGCTGTGGCTACTTTAAAATAATTAATCTCTCTTGGCCAGGCGCGGTGGCTCACGCCTGTAATCCCAGCACTGTGGGTGGCCGAGGCGGGCGGATCACGAGGTCAAGACATCGAGACCATCCTGGTCAACATGGTGAAACCTCGTCTCTACTAAAAATACAAAAAATCAGCTGGGCATGGTGGCGCGTGCCTGTAATCCCAGCTGCTCAGGAGGCTGAGGCAGGAGAATTGCCTGAACCCATGAGGCGGAGGTTGCGGTGAGCCGAGATCGCGCCATTGCACTCCAGCCTGGGTAACAAGAGCGAAACTTCGCCTTAAAAAAAAAAAAAAAAAAAAATTAATCTCTCTACATTGCTTTTATAAGTAAAAATGGAAAAAGCAGTTTAAAATAAATATAATAAATGTAAGTAAAACGTGTTTTATATGTGTTTCATTATCATCTATTGCATGGCACGTACATAGTATTCACTGAAGTATTATATATTAATGTCGCCAAAAGTTACATGTATTCATGTTGAAGTTTATTTTTTAGAGACTTCTGATGTTACATTATTTGGTAGACATTTTGAAAAATTAAAAAGTCAAAGAAAGTTTTAAAAAGTATTAACACTTCTACCCTGAAGCAGCATTTTTACATATCAATGTTAAATATTTTTCTAAGTATACAGAACAATAGAAAGCAATCTTAATTAGTATAAAGTTAACTATCCAACAAGAGTAATCCTCTGCTCATCAGACCATTAAGAAAATGAAAAGACAATCAGCAAAATGGGAAAAAACATTCACAGCAGAAACATCAGACAAGACTTCAGTAACTAATATATAAATATCATCTACAAATCAACAATATAATAACCTATGTAAAAACAGGTAAAAGATTTAAATAGATATGAAAACAAAAGAGGAGAAGAGGCCAAAATACATGAGAAAAGGTGCCTAACATCACTAATTAACAGGAAAATGAAAATTATAAGCACAGAATTACCATTACACACCTATAAAATCAAGAAGACTGGCAATATCAAATGTTGGAGAGGCAATGGAACAAATGGAATTCTTACACACTATTGGAGAAGTATGAAACGTTACAACCACTTTAAAGAACTGCTGGCAACATACATCTGTCTATATTATGATTCTATAATTTCACTCTCAGAAATATATGTCCACAAATATACTTGTACAAGAATATTTATTATAGCAGCCTTATTCATAACAGCTCCAAATTGGAAATAACCCAAATGTCCATCAATAGATGGATAAACAAATGGTAGTATATTTACATATTGGAATATTAATGAAAAATTAATAAACAGAGCTGTGTGCAGTGGCTCGTGCCTGTAATCCCATTAACTAGGGAGGCTGAGGCAGGAGGATCCCTTGAGCCTAGGAATCCGAAGCTGCAATGAGCTATGAATGTGCCACTGCACTCCAGCCTGGGTGCCAGAGCAAAACTCAGTCTCTTAAAACAAAAATAAGAAAAAAACAAACTACTTATACATACAACATAGATGAATTTCAAAAATCTTAAGAAAAAGAAGCCAGACACAAGAGTATATATTGTATCATTCTATTTGTATGCAATGCAAATATAAACAGAAGTAATCTATGATGATAGAAACTAGATAGTGATTGCTGGGTGACAAAGTATTCCATTGGAAACAGGCAAAGGGGCTTAGAGAAGGGGATAAAAATATGCTACACCTTGTTTGGAAGTAGTGAGTACATAATTACCAAATGATACTTAAATGCATACTTAAAATACGTACCTTTTATTTTGTATTACAGCTCAACAAAGATTAGCATTATCATAAAGCTCTTTACATAAATACACCCACAGACACACATATTATATGCTACATAATGCATAGACCACCAAGAGAAAACTAAGGTATAAACCATATTTATTCATTAATTATTCACTTATCCATGCATTTATTTACTTCTTGGCTCAATTCTGGGTATGTGCACATTCACACACACATATGTATATGTTTATATGTGTGTAAACATTAATTTAAAAATGGCTTCAATATATATTGCTTTACAACTTGCTGCAATAAACTATATTATTATCTTTACCTGTCAATAAATACACAACACAAAATTGATTTTTAAATTGAGTCCAAGTCCATATAGTAAATTAATGACCAAAAACTGCTGGTATGCAGATTCTACATGGGAGTAATGGAAATTTTAAAAATCTTTAGAATAAAAAAGAACAGAATTCAAGTCCAGCTTATTTACCCCCAAACCACGTAGCCTTGGCTAACTCACTTAACTTCATGAGCATCCATTTTCTCACACATAAAGTGGAAATACCTACCCTGAAAAAAAGCTTTTTCAAAATATGAGATATAATTTCCTTAGCACAGTGGCTAGCCCATAACAGCTACTCAATAAATAATAACTATAATTAAAAATTATTTATTTAGCATAACCAATTTTCATGGAGCAATCATGTGAAAGATACAGTTAGCCCAGGCAAGTAGTTAACACATTAGTCTGTTTAAATTAATTTTTATTATACGAGGGTTTTAGTAGTATATTACTTTCATGATCCAAGATTTGTATTTAAAGTAGAAACAATGGTGCCCTTCCAGAGCTATATTAATGATTACATTAGATATTTCACATAGAAATACTCAAACCATGAAGTGCTGTACAAATACTAGAAATTATGACCCTCTTTTGCTTAGTTTAGTGTGAATGACCTGAAATCACTTAATAGGCAGGTAGAATTTGTTTTGCTTATATAACATATAACATACTTTTTGATACATAATTCTATCTAAAACTGTCTTAGATGTTGTTAATGAAACCTCAAACAAATCCCTAAAGAAACTATTTGTTTCAGTCATGCAAGAGTAGTAAATTATAATAAATTAAAGGAATCAGTACAAATTTAATAAAGCCAAATATGGTGATAACTCAATAGACCACTGTGCTGTCATAAGTATATTCTCAGATACATTCCCCAACACCTTACAGTCACTTCAAGGATCCCTCAATTCTTATCCACTATCCCACCACTTACCTAGCCTTGAATTTCCCATCACTCTTACCTAAACTCTCAGTAGTTTGGATGAGATGTCACATACTCTAGAGCATTATCTGTGTAGCTCTGTAATTTCTAATATTTTCACTCTAAAACAGGACAGTAAAAAAAAAAAAAAAAAGGTGAACAATTATATAAACATGAACCAAGACTCTATGAAGGGTTTTAAGCTTTAGGAGGACAAGGACATCTTGCTTACTCTTATCTTCAAATGCCTATCACAGTCTCTACCACACAGTAGGCTTTCCAGAATTAATTTTCTATACTAAAGAATAAGTTTATAAGTAATTATTTTTAAGATCAGGTTGTTGCTAACAGTACTCAGGAAGAGGAGGGTCCAACCAATATTTACTAAGCATCAATTCTATGTCTGGTTGTGTACTAATTCCAGTAAGTATTGCTAATTGTCCCTTCCAAAAGCCCTGTCAAGCAAAGCAGCAAGAGGACAGGGGAGGAGGAAAAAGAAACAACTATAAAAGGAGTACATGAAAGGAGAGTGATACACATATAATGGCATATGAGGCTCCATGAACCTAAGGGAGCTTCAGTTCCCCTCATTATCTCTTCCTCTAGGCTTCATATAAGGTTTCTTTTTTTTTTTTTTTTTGAGACGGAGTTTTGCTCTTGTTACCCAGGCTGGAGTGCAATGGCGCGATCTCGGCTCACCGCAGCCTCCGCCTCCTGGGTTCAGGCAATTCTCCTGCCTCAGCCTCCTGAGTAGCTGGGATTACAGGCACGCGCCACCATGCCCAGCTGATTTTTTGTATTTTTAGTAGAGACGGGGTTTCACCATGTTGACCAGGATGGTCTCGATCTCTTGACCTCGTGATCCACCCGCCTCGGCCTCCCAAAGTGCTGGGATTACAGGCGTGAGCCACCGCGCTCGGCTCATACAAGGTTTCTTACACACATGAGCTCCTTCTAATTAAAATCACTTAATGTTTTCTTGAAGGGCTGGAGGCTGACTAGAATCTTGAAACAAATGTCTAAATACATTTCCATTTATCATCCCTAACTGTTCAGAACAACAATTATTACAGTTAATGAGTGACCAAGCTCGTTGATCATGGCCTTAAAGAGGCACTAAAAAGAAAAGTCAGTTAGGCAAATTCTGAGTAATTACTCATCCTTTAAATTATTTTCCCCTTAGGGAAAATTTCTCCTTAAAAGTTATCTTTGACATTTTCCTCTTCCTGATCTCCCACCTTCAACTGGCCAGCAAAGTGCCATTTACTCCTCTCTAAAGTTTCTGACATCTCTTCCTTTTTTTAAATTCTATCAACCACAACCACATTTCAATTGCTCTTCTAACTCATTTAAATTATGGCAAAAGCTGCGTAATAAATTAATTCCCTGTGCTTATATTACCTCTCTTTATTCTTTTTTTTTTTTTTTTTTTTGAGTCGGAGTTTCGCGCTTGTTACCCAGGCTGGAGTGCAATGGCGCGATCTCGGCTCACCGCAACCTCCGCCTCCTGGGTTCAGGCAATTCTCCTGCCTCAGCCTCCTGAGTAGCTGGGATTACAGGCATGCGCCACTATGCCCAGCTAATTTTTTGTACTTTAGTAGAGACGGGGTTTCACCATGTTGACCAGGATGGTCTCGATCTCTTGACCTCGTGATCCACCCGCCTCGGCCTCCCAAAGTGCTGGGATTACAGGCTTGAGCCACCGCGCCCGGCCTTACCTCTCTTTATTCTAATCCAATCTCCAAGCCACTGCAAGATTAACTGTACAAATCTAATTTTTATCATTTTATCAACCTTCCTGAAAATTTCAAAGAGAAACTGAAGTAGGAGTAGAGCTGAACAATGTATTCTATGATGTACTTTTGAATACATGTAAACAAATACCACATAAGCAACATACATACCCATCTAGAAAAGTTGGATACATACATGGCTTCAACACTATAACAAAATTAAACAATTACACAAATCTGATATGTAATTATGTCTTTAATATAATCTATGATTAATGTAAGCAGATATGACTAAATGTATATGAAGATTACTATAGTTAGCATTACTTTGCAAAAGCTAGAAGCAAAATGGTCTCCACCAGCAAAGACACTGGCAGTACATCTTCTCACCCTTATCCACAGGTCCAAAAGATGAGAAAAGCATTGCTTTAAACAATCTAACATTTCCTGAAATTCTAACAATTATTAATTTCAAAAAGTTATATAATTTAGTAGAGAAAGGCTCTATCCCAAGGATAGCATCTCCTGAGGGCCTCTAGTTTATAGTAAAATAACACTAAGGCAGAGCAAGTCAAAAGTTGCCAAGAGGAAGTATTCCATCTTTGGATAGAGAAATAGAACATTTTTTCTTATACTGATGCCAAAATCTGCCCCTGTGTAATTGTTTATTTGTTCTGGTGTAATCATCTGGAATGCAGAGAACAAGTATTATCTTCCCTTTACACACTCAAAATAACAATGTTTTCTCTCAAGCAACTGAAGCATGTAATAATCTTTTGATCATTGGTATATTTTAAATATAAATACAATGGCAAAAATGATTGACAGAAAAACCTGTCAATCAACTACAGTGGCAAGTCAATCAATTTAACTGGGTTATAATGTTTCTTAAATGTTAAGTTTATCATACTAAAAACTGAACATGGACTTCATTTCTGGTTCCACACGAAAGGAGCCTGGAAGTCATCACATCATTCTAACGACAAGTAAAAACCTGATCAAACTGAAAAATCAACAACTCTTCTGAATTGTAAGAGAAATGAGGACACAGGGCAAGCTACTACCCCCAAGATCATAAAGGCAGACATGAGAATATAGGGAGTCACACATTAAGGTTCATGAGCAAAAAGTGCTGTGAGAACCAGTGCCTGGGTAGGTAAACCTGAAGTACGATCAATCAACTGGATGTTTCATAGCTGTTTCAGAAAATCAGCAAACCACGAAGCACTTCGTGAGAGGCAATGATATGAACAGAGAAATGATATGAACAGAGACAGAGCAATACAAACAGCAAGATGGTACTAGGTCCCTTTAACCTGGAATGCCCTTTGTTTCTCAACCCAACTTGGGGAACAACCTTGTCATTCTTCAGAAGTCTAGCTCAGACTAGATGTAAAGGTTTTTCCTAACCTACAAAGCCACTTCTCTATACTGTTATGATACATTCTTCATACCAACATTATAGCATATATATTACATATATCTGATTTGTCAGGGTTCCAGTTAACAGCTAGTGTACCACTGTAATTGTTAATATCATCTATTTTCACTTCCCAAAGTATCCCAGGTTGTATTATAAATAATAGCTATAAATAATATGATCACCTTAAGTATAAACTTCAACGGCAGTGTCTGTTTTTCCCAGGACTATATCTGCTCCATTATCTCCTCCCAGAGACTAAAATTGTGTTGTTGAGGTTAAATAAATAAATAAATATAAAAATTTTTAAAAACTTGTGTTGTTGGCTTCTTGTACCAGTGTCCTACTCTTATAATAATGATGGCAGGAAGAGTTATGGCAATTTCTGCTGACTTTAACATATTAAAATTGACTTCCCTAAAGATGGTAAAAAGAAACACGGCGGACTAGTAGGGGAAGAGGAAAGAGGAGTAAGCACTGAAAAACAACCTATCAGGTACTATGCACACTACCTGGGTAATGGGAACATCTGTACACTGAACCTCAGCAACATGCAACTTAACCATGTAACAAACCTGCACATGTACCCACCAAAACTAAAGGTTGAAAAACAAATACATATATGTTTTATAAATAAATAACTTTTTCTCCATGACCCAGGGATTGAGACCTATTTCCCTCCCACTTCAATTCTGGATTATAAACTTACTTCATTTTATACTTTCCTCTTTCTGTGTACACAAAAACATCTTCCTTTCTATAATTCTAAAGAATTGCTCACTCCGAATTATTTCAAGGAGCAAAGGTTATAACCAATGACAAGAAAAAAAAGTTCTTGTTGACAGTTTATCATTCTGTACCTTTGGATAAATTAAACAAGTGACATCTACCAGGCCACTCCTGTGATGGTCTTAAAATTCTATTAACAAAAGCCACGTCTTTAATTGATTTATCAGCATGTTATTATATATTGTAACTGTCAAATATAAACGAGGATCAATCTAGGTATACAACACTAAAAGAAAGTAAGCTAGATGTAGTAGTAATTCATTTGAACAGAACATCTATTAAAAGTTGTATAATTTTAATAATTAGAAGCTATAATTAGTATTTTAATTCATATACTTAGAATATAAATTTATATAAGTTTACAGCTTAAAATATGTAAATATTTAAAATTTAACTTCAAACAATGGTCCTCCCAAGGTTCTTTTTCAAAAAAAGTAACATTGACAATATCAATACTGAGGAACACAGGTATTCCCCTAGATTTTATTTAATAATGTTCTTATTTATATAATTTTTCAAAATAAACCTATACTATAAAGCACAGTTATGATCTTTCCCAGGAACAGCTCTGTATATCTACAAGGGTATTTCGATTTCTGTGTTTTATTCAGTCATAAATTTCAATGCTCTTCATCTGCCATATACTGTGCTAACTGCTAGGAGAGAAACATTAATAAATATATGATCTAATTCCTGGAGCTCAAAATTAAATGGGAAAAAAGAGGGATATAAATCTAACAGTAATATAACAGACAGGTTGGTGGTAAATACCATGCAAACAAAACAAAAAGAGAGTGTTTGACAGAGATTTCACTAGTATAAGACAAATGAGAACAGGAAACCTGTCTGTCCATTTACAGATGCACCTCTGGCACAATGCCAGGCATGTGGTGGGTTGTCAATAAACAGTGGTTAAAAGAAATACTGAGCAAGAGAGTAAGTGGCACAAACGTTATCTGAAGATACTTAACGCTGGAATTTATTCTTGACAATAGGCAATACATCCTGTAGGCATATAAAATGTGAAAAGTAATATGCACATTAACATGGAAATGTGAAAAAACATGGTATTTTTCTCAATTAACTCAAGAAACAGCAAGAAATTCTAAGTCCCCAGAAAACAGGATAGAGAACAAATGAAAACAGAGCTAGATTCCAACAGCTTTCTAAGGTATGTTATGTTAACTTATATTTTTCTAAGTTAAGTTATCTTATATCTTTGGGCAATAGTTAATTGTTAAGGAAGGCATTTATGCAAGTGAATGGCATGATCAGTTATTTGTGCTTCAGAAATACAACTTTGGAGAGTGAACTGCAGAAGAGGACAAAGGCAAGTTTAAGTAGAGGTTAAAAAAATTTTATAACCAGGAAACTTAGTAATGGCTTAGAGATGGAGGAAAGACAGACGACAGAATCAAGGATGAATTCCAGATTTCTGGATTGGGCAAATTGATGTATGATTCTACTCACTAACAGGGAATCCTAGAGCAAGTACAGATTTGGGGGAAATTTTCTACCAGCTATAGTAAGCTTATGCACCAAAAGTAAATAACAACAAACCTTACAATGTTATATATTAAATAATGTTAATATTTACAATGTTATATGTTAAATATGTTAAATAACATATAACATATAATTTGTTAAATGTTAAAATAATAAGACAAAATAATTGGCTATTTGGTACTGTATCAAAAACACTTATATTAGTCAGGCTTGGCTACTCCGATACTGGGGGCCCTAGAGCCTGGGAGTTCAAGGCTGCAGTGAGCTATGATCATTCCACTGGACTCCACCTCCAGTTTGGGTGACAGAGCAAGACCCTGTTTCTAAAATTAAAAAATAATTTTAAAAAATTATGTTTAATTAAAAAATTATTTTAAACCACATTTACAGGCTATCCGTTTTCAAGCCTATGTTCTTAAAAATATATATAGATTATCATAAAAATATCAATTCCAGAGTCAAGTGTCCCCAGAAAGCTGCCCACAGTAATATGCATTTATAAGAAGTACCCCAGTGATTCTTATGCTCGCTAAAATGTGAAACATGCTATAAAGACTGCCAGGTGTCATGCAACTAGATTCTTTTATCTGTTTGGATTATTTGATCTGCAATCTAAGACCAGAACCTACTGTATGAAATATTCTGATCATCTTCAAATGTTACATATAAAACACCACCACTGACACAAAATTAATAATTACTAATACTATACAGAGAACCTACAATATTGTGGTAATATTCTGTATGAATAAGCTATTTTAATCTCCATAACAATTGTATAAGGTAGGTATTACTATTATTGATCCCATGTTAATAAATGAGGCCTAGAGACACTTGCCTAAAAGTCACACTAATACCAGATATGGCAATAAGATCTGAACTTAAGCAGTATGACTCCAAAGTCTACCTTTTATTCCTCAACATATAATACAATACAGACTACCTAGTTATACTGCCTTGCACAGGACAATGTACCTTCGGTGTTCATACTGGGTTATAATTACACACTTAATTGTATAATTAGTTGATGTTTATCTCCCTATGCCGTAATTCTGCTTTAGTTCACCACTGTGACGTCATCCAAATAACTAAACAATGGTTGGCAGGCAGTAACCACACTCAAAAAGTATTTGTTGAATAAATGAATTTACTATTCAGAAATAAATACACAAAACTTCAAAATATACCAAATTCAGTTTCTTGGTCTGGGTTCTGGTTTCATATCACCTCAATTAGGCTATTATCAAAAAGATTAAAAAATGCAGGGAGCCATGAACATACCACTGTACTCTAGCCTGGGTGACAGAGCAAGACCCTATGTCAAAAGAAAAAGACAAAAAGTAACAAATGTGGAAAAGGAATTCATACACTGTTGGTGAGAATGTAAATTATTAAGTACAGCCATTATAGAAAATGATATAGAGGTGCCTCAAAAAACTAAAAATAGAATTATCATATGGATAATCCAGCAATTCCACTACCAGGTATACATAGCCAAAGGAAATGAAATCAGCATATCAGAGAGAATTAATAAGCTAAAGAGATACCATATTTATTGCAGCACTATTCATAATAGACAAGATATAGAAGCAACCTAAGTGTCCTTCAATGGATAAATGAATTTTTTAAGTGTAGTATATATGCACAATGGAATACTATTCAGCCATTAAAAAAATAAAATCTTAGCATTTGCGGCAACATGGATGAACCTGGAGGACATGATCTTAAGTGAAATAAACCAGGCACAGAAAGACATACACCACACAATCTCATAAATTTAAAGAAGTGGAATCTAAAGAAACTGATCTCACAGAAGTAGAGAGTAGCATAGTAGAGGGTAGGGGAGAACAGAGAAAGTTAAAGTTAGGAGGAATAAGTTCTGGTGTTCTCTTGTGCAGTAGGGTGACTATGACTAATAGTATTGTATTGTATTGTATTTCCAAATAACTAGGAGAAAGGATTTTGAATGTTCTCACCACAAAAAAATTATAAACATATGACGTGATTGCTATGGTCTGAATGTCCCCTCCAAAGCTGAGGTTGAAATTTCATCCCCAACATGGCTGTACTGAGAGGTGGGGCCTTGAAGAGGTGACTGGATCATGAAGGCTCTGCCCTCAAGAATGAGTTATCACAGGAGAGGAACTGGTGGCTTTATAAGAAGAAAAGAAACCTGAGCTAGCACATTAGCACATTCAGCCCTCCTTGACATGTGACAACATGTACCACACCACCCTGAGACACTTCAATGACAGCAAGAAGTTGTCATCAGATGGCAGCCCCTCAATCTTGGACTTCTCAGCCTCCATAATAGTAAGAACTAAATTACTTTTCTTATGAATTACCCAATTTCAGGTAATCTATAAGTGACAGAATGCTGATTAATCCATTAACGGATATGCTAAATACCCTGATTTTGTTTTACACAATGTAGACACATATCAAAATATCACAGTGTACCCTATAAACATGTAATTATTTGTGTCAATTAAAACCAAAATGTTAAAAAATATGTATTTAAAATACAGCAAGCTCTGCTTCTTGATCTGGGTGCTGGTTTCACAGGTGTCAATCTGTCAAAGACTCACTGAGCAAAACATGTATAATAAATTCATGTTTCTCTCTATTCAATAAATAGTAAAAAGCAAGAATGAAAAAAATTTGTTATTTTGTGAGATATTAAAGACTATATTTATTGTCCTTTTACAGTAAACAAGACTGCTTCTTTAACTTGACTTTTAACAATCTGGCAATTATAACAGAAGTCTCTAAGCCATATCTGTGAATTCTAAAATAGAGGAATTGACAAGGGACTTACTACCTTATGATTAGTTATAATAATGACAGCTATAATACGGACATACATAAAAGAGGGAATAAAAAAAGAAATGTATCTACTTCCCAAACTCTGAGGAACAAGAAGATATGAAATAATACAATTTTCCAAACACCCTAACCAAATTTCTTTCTTATTGCTTTGAAAAGAAATCTCACTTTCTAAGGAAAGAACAAACCTATTTAAAAATAATTAACAATGCAATGGCATTTACCCAAATTTGTCAAACACAAAATTTTTTAAATGGCAATGCATAGGAAAACAAAAAGAAAAAGGCAAAAATTTAAGCCTGCTGTCTACCTTCAGAAAACCATTCTGATCCTCTTCTATTCCACTTTCTCAGGTACTATTCACTCAGTGCTAAAAATCCTGTTGCCAGGCTACACTAGCTAAAGAACTAATGCCTAACCATTCACCTTAACTAATCTTCTAATCATCATCCTTGTCTATTACTACATGGTAGGTAATTAGTGAATTCATAAGGATTTTCTTGCACAGATGTCTGAGGTAGAAAATGAGTAAGACCTCCACAATGGAAAAAGCGTATCAAGTGCTTTCTGAATCTTCATCTCTTTCTCTTCTTTACAGTAAAATTAGAATTGAGTACTTGGGATCATAATGCCTGTTAAAAGATAATTTGTGGTAGACAACTGAACCAAATTCACAAAGCACTTTTACTTTGTACACAAAGTATACACAAGTATATACAAAGAATTCAAAAGGTCTTCGCCAGCCTACAGAAATGGCTATCATTCAAAGAAATGTTTTTCATAACATTTAATGTTATTTTTTCTGCAGAAAATCAATATGAAAAATGCAGTCTGCAACTTGAACAACCTTTTCTAAGACAGTAAAAATAACTAAAAGCAATTATTACTTAAAGATTACAATTACAGGCCAGGCGCGGTGGCTCAAGCCTGTAATCCCAGCACTTTGGGAGGCCGAGGCGGGTGGATCACGAGGTCAAGAGATCGAGACCATCCTGGTCAACACAGTGAAACCCCGTCTCTACTAAAAATACAAAAAAAATTAGCTGGGCATGGTGGCGCGTGCCTGTAATCCCAGCTACTCAGGAGGCTGAGGCAGGAGAATTGCCTGAACCCGGGAGGCGGAGGTTGCGGTGAGCCGAGATCGCGCCATTGCACTCCAGCCTGGGTAACATGAGTGAAACTCCGTCTCAAAAAAAAAAAAAAAAAAAAAAAAAGATTACAATTACTACATGTTCTGTTACAATTTCTATGTCTTAGTCTATTATATTTTACAAAGATATTTGTAAAATCATTAGGTTTCCATAGTCCTCTAATTAGGAATCCTTTATTATAAAAGGAAAAAAAAATCAGTTTGTCTTTGAAACAATTCACTATGTAAATGAACCCTGTGAAAGAATGGAACAGCTGTGCCTAATGGCCAAGACAATTAATCCTGATATATATCCAGTCTATTAGAATTATTTAGAAGTCAGTTGTATATTTGCATGTACAGCTACTTCCATGCTTCCGCTTTTCTCTATGAAATATGTCTATAGTTCAGATCATTTGTCAGACAGGTGGCTTCTATGAAGGTAGTTAAATGGGCTTACCTTCTTAGGAACTAATAAGGGAGGGCAAAGGTAAATAATACCTTGGCTGTAGGACACTAGATGGCTTAGCAAACTGAAAAATACATTGTTACCATATTATTTTCTAATCTTTCCATCTGTATTGATTCCACATCTTATTACGCACTATTCTTCATGAATCCTCAGTTTCTTTCACAGCTCTGTCTTTAAAAAAAATGCTGGCCAGGTGCAGAGGCTCATGGCCTCCCAGAACTTTGGGAGGCCCGGAAGGGAGGACTTCTTGAGGCCGGGAGTTCAAGACCAGCAATAAGAGCATTGTAAGACTCCTGTCCCTACAAAAATTAGGGAAAAACAAAACAAAACAACAACAACAACAACAAAACCCACAGCTGGGCATGGTGGCGCACATCTGCCATCCCAGCTATACAGGAGGCTAAGATGGGAGAATTACTTGAGCCCAGGAGGTTGAAGCTACAGTGGGCCATAATGGTGCCACTGCACTTTAGTCTGGGTGACAGAGCAAGACCCTAGTATCTAAAAATAAAAAAAAATTAAATGCTTTGCCCGTTGTTTCCCATCTTTGAAACATTACTTCTTTCTTTTGCCAAATCTGAGATGCTGCTGAATTTATTCTTACCTCATCATCTCCTAAGCTTCATCAGCCTGGTGGCTAAGGCCATCATTCAAATTAAGCTGTCCTCCTCAAGTGTACCATTTGCCCAATTCAAAGTTTTTCTCTCAGTTTTTCAAACTTTTTGACTTTTCCATTACAATGCTCACCCATGCTAACCAAATCCACCTTCTTTCCCATGGTTTCTACAACTACACTGTCTCAGTCCTTTTCATGCCTATTCCTCACTGCTCTTATGTCTTGGTTTAAAGATTTGTATTCCCTCCTCCTGTTCCATATCCTTTAACATCACCAAAAGCTTTGAGTTAAATGAAGGTTGCCAGGGAAAAAAAAAGTTTTAAATGTAAACAACAAGAAAGACAACAAAAATTACCTGAAGTTCTAACTGTATATCCTTTTCCTCAGGTTTCTCTTTTCACTGTCTCCATCAATTCTAAGAAATTCAGTTTTACTCTTTAAGTCAACAACGCCTCAAAAGTTCAATTCTAAAATATATCTATAATTAAAAGCAATACACTTCAGTCTACATGTTTTGTGGTGTGTCCACCTCAAATTTGGCATGTCCTGTAATCAAATTAATTCATCCTAATAAAAAATTTCAAGAATTTCCACCTTCATATAATATTACTATTGGAAATTCTGGACTCGATGGAATCTATTCAAATCCAGGTAGCCATCAGGTATCACTGAGACACTTTAGAACAGCAGTTCTCAATCTTTCTGGCACCAGGGACCAGTTCTGTGGAGGACAATTTTGCAACAGACAGGGTCAAGTGGTGGGAATGGTTTCGGATGAAACTGTTCCACCTCAGATCATCAGGCATTAGATTCTCATGAGGAAGGCATAACCTAGATCCCTCACATGCACAGTTCACAATAGGGTTCAAGCTCCTATGAGAATTTAATGCTGCCACTGATCTGACAGAAGATAGAGCTCAGGTGGTAATGCTAGCTTGCCTGCTGCTCACCTCCTACTGTGTAGCCCAGTTCCTAAGAGGCCAGGGACTTGTACCAGTGCACAGCCAGGGGTTTCGGAACCCCTGCTTTAGTTCATGTACCTTAATAACCTCTTACATAGACTACATCATAACAGTATCCTGTTTTTATACCCTACTAAGTTTTGAATCAGTGTTTTATACATATTACCATATTTAGTATCCTATTCCTGCTTTTAGGGTTAAGCATAATCATTCATATACATCAAAAAAGCTCACCAACAATTATCAGAACAAAAACATATTGGCTTATCTCAAGTCCTAAGCATGAAAGGAAACACATGTTAAATTAAGCCTTTCCATGAACCTGGGTCAATGATGACCCTAACCTGGCAAAA